AAGTACTTTCGTAGGGTAAATATTTTCCTATGCTAGGACCAAATAACAGGGAAGCATGCTGAGAAGACAGCGTGGGAAAAATATTCTCTTCCTGTGAGTCAAAACCTGTGTGCAAACACACCCCAGCAAGCCCAGCAGGCAGGCTCACAGCACCTGATCCTCTGCTCTCTCCGTCACACGCTCAGGAGGACACGGCAGCCCTCACCCCTGGCCCAGGGCATGGCTGCAGCCCCAGCTGAGCAAGTCCCACAGGAGATACCCCCGAGAGCCACGGCCTCCTTACGCTGCAGGAGCGCTGCAGCTGCACCGCTCGCGGCCGCTTTTACTGAGGCACAGAGACAGGTACCTCAACAGAAACTAGCAACCTGCTACATGTAACCGTGATGCGTTATTCAAGTTTTGGGCTTGCGTTTTGGTTTGGTTTTTTGAGAGATCCTGGTACTGAGCTGACCTAAGTGACGGGACCTCGAGTGATCCGGGTGCCCAGATGAGGAAGCAATTGGAAGAGAAGAGCTGCTGCAGTGAGGGCGAGCAATCCAAAGCATCTGGAAATTATTGTCACACTCTAAAGGAATATATTTTTAAATATAGCATAATCTGCATTTGCAGTCCCTGAAAGTACAATACTTTCACAAAACTTGTAAGAAAAAAGCTAAGAAAAATAAATTTATGTCTTCTTTTCAAGAATTAAAACTCATCCTGAGGACATGCAGTGGTCATGACAGTCAGCAGGAGTTAAATGTAAAGATCAAAGTGTTGCCCACAGCCAATGGAACTTAATTAGAATCCACAAAAGGAGAAGCATTGATGGTCTAGAACATGAAGACATTGTTAATTGCTGCGCTTACTGATTCTTTCCAAATACCTACCTGCAGCTCAATCTCTCAAATTTAGCAACACATAGCACTTCACTTGACCTTTAACTTTGAATGTCTGCAAAATCTGATTTTTATTTATTTATTTCATAGATCAAAAATGTTTTTAAGGAGGAAATAAATCATTTAGTGATAAAAATGAAATCTAGTAATATTTTATCCCATGTCATTAGTGAAATCTTCAGCTAGTATTCATGATTTAGCCAGCATTGCTGCATCTCTTTTTTAATAAATGAAACAACAAACTGTTTAACAACTCCAGATTTCTAGAGAATGAACTAACTTCTTATTTGAGCACTATGGTCTGGATTAACTATGAAGCATCTTTCTGAGATAATAAAAAATTTCCCCTAATTCTTGAAAGACACTTATCTTGCTGAGATTTGCACCTGCACATATTCTTGCTGAAGTTGATGTAACTCTTTATGCAACTGACACTCAGGTTTGCATAAATATTATCTTCCCAAATATACCGCAGCATGGTAGAGCAATATAAAACACCGATTGCAGTGTCTAATGACAGTGCATATAGTTAAATATTCCCTTTGTGTTATCAGCTTTAAATTATAATGAACAGCAAGTTTTATTTATAAAAGTACTGGAAGTATTATAAATAAAAGTACTAAAAGTTTCCATGAACTCCACAGATCTTAGAGAAGAGTCTGAAAACTAGGTCTGTAAAAGAAAAGTGTTTCATTAGCAGCTTTCAGTTGCAGAGTTTTCTGACTGGGTATTTGCCACCTGTCAGTTCTGTTTACAATGTCTACAAAATCATTTTCATGCTGAAAATCACTGACAACTACCTTTCATATTTATTCATAGCTAAGCACTCATGCCAACTCCTACTGAAGTCAATAGCAGGTTTCTGGATATAGCAGGAATAGGATTAAACCTAAAAGGTCTGTCACTGCTGTCACTGAAACATTGATTTGCATGTTTTCTTATTTTTGAACCAAAACATGACCTTGGCTTTTTAATGTTGAGTTTTTGCAGCTAAGTGTGCAGATGCAATAATCACAGAGCTGAGGTCATTTGAGATTACAAAAAGGTTAAAAACTATGCATGGGAAGGTAATAACAGGAACTTCTAATTAGCAAAACCAGTTTGTCCTGCAGCATTGAGGTCATGTCCTTGTACTTTTTCTGAAAAAACATACTGACTGAAGATGTGAAATCAACCCAAAGAGATGGCTGAATGGGTGTTCTCATGGCCATCATACAGATACTGCTTTAGGTAGGTCCCTGCAAAAAAAAAGCAGCTCTGAAGAAGCAGAAAAATCAGCTACTCCCCAATTGTTCTCTTCCGTGGTATTTGCAGAGCAGGACCAAGAGGCACCTTCCTTTTTGATTAAATGCCTACAGATGGTTTCTGCTACAAAACATATTTAAAAATAATTGGAATTGCTGATTTAGCCCATGTGCACTGTAAATTAGCACCTTCCTTTTTTATTTCGCTGATTGGCCTGTCATTTTGCACACAATGGTACAGGCACATATAGTTATTCATAGCCCACCTCTTTCAAAAACTGCTCTTCTAAAAAAGATTTGAGTACACAAAAGCAGTGCATCTTACCTTTGAAAAGATTATCAGCACATCCAGAAAAACTGAATGCTCTAGGAATACATTACAATACCACTTTGAGTATTTTGTTTAGGTGCTTTCTAATACTCTTCTGCAAAATACAGCAGATAGGCATTTAAAGCAGCTAGGTAAATATGTGAATTTATATTGTCTTAAAAAACACAGGCTTCTTTTTTCACTAAAGTGATGAAACTAAGTAAAGATGAGAGCTTTTGTGATACTGAGCTTGCACATGTGGTATTAAGAGAAATTAATCATGTTAATCACAACAAATAAGCACTTAATGACTAACATTTGCCAGTTGTTAGTGTATACCACATTTGTAACAAAACTAAAGATTAAATAAATCCAGAAGCAGATTTTGGCTTCCTGTTGAATGTTCAATCTGTAATACATGTTATTGTCTCCAGTGCAATTGCTGGAGTTACCACAGCTACTGATCTTTCAAATCCTTCCGTTCCATTTATTCAACTCTTCTTTTAGGCATGTGAAAGACATCAAATTGCACGGAGTGTTTTTCAGATTACTTTTGCAGAGGAAAAGTCAGCACATGTAAATGAGACCAGCAGGGAGAAGGAATGCAGAATTAACTCAGAGATAACTGCCATGTTCACCACCTATTCTGTAATAACTTCCCCTTGGCCCTGGCGGCAGTTTGAAGTAAGGAGTGAGGGGAAAATGTGGCTCTGTGGAAAAGTAAGCTGAAAATATTTATGGGAGATTCAGCTTTGACATATCTAAATTATAGCAGGCTATTGAGATGTAGAAATGTGAGCTCCTTTATAAAGAAAGTTCTCAAGTCATTAAAATGTAGCTTCTTGTTTTAATAATAGACACAGTGAAAATCAGAGGATCATTGAGGTATTGATCATGACACCAAAGAAATTATTTATAATGCTACATTTCCAAACCCTCATTAGTAATAAAAAATTTTTTAAAAAGATACATTCTTATAGCTAAAACATACCAAATAGTAAGAAGCCTTGGTCAGTGCTGCTCCTCCAGTTAGAACAGATACATTCAGAAAGATTTAGTATGATTCAAGCTATGCATTATACAGATTCAAATACATTAGCTGTTGAATTGCAGCCCCTTGTAACAATATCAAAGTTGAATATTCAAACAGAACAAAAATAATATCATCCAGCTTTTTGAAACTCTGTTTCAGTTTTGGATATTTTTGTGCCAGAGTGCCGGTTACAGGCTGGCACAGAAATAGATGCTTAGCTTGCAAATTCCACCGAAATTCACCAATTTCAGAGGAACAGAGATCAAACAGATTAAGAGATACTGAAGAATGGAAACCCAAGAAAAGGTTAATGAAGAACAGTGCAGAAACTTTGATCAGATATATCAATCGCCAGCCTGTGATTTGAGGCATAAATTCAGGGTTTAATTATTGAGCAAATTAAATGTATTTTAACTAATTCTTCTGCTGCTTTTTTGTGACTTTTTGTGCAAGGTCCTTGGGTCTTTCTCTCATTGGGTGAATATAGATATTGTGCATTGCATGAACCACAGTGTAATCTTCGGGGAGTTATTCTAGGCAGGGTACCTAGAATCACCCACATTTCTTCACTTCACAACCTCTATAAGCACACTGGCTGCAATGATGTAAACATCACAGTTACTCTTACTGAAGTTTGAAAGATCTGAGCTTGTCTCCATTTCTCAGACTGCAGTTTTTCTATTTTTTTTCTAATTTATTTTGCAGTATGTGCTGTTCTTTATTATGTGAAAGATAAAACAAAGGAAGATACAGACAGAATAAAAGATCAAGGAAGAAAGAACAGACGAAAGCCTATAGAAGAACATGAGGATCAAATAATCCATAAGAAATAATGAAAACATTGGCAATAGAGCAAAACTATTTGGAATGGAATGGGCAGTTCTCTTACTGATAAAGTGCTTTCTCTCTACTACAAATCCACGGAAATTTGGTAGGTTCTTATGCAAATAATTTTTCTGTAATCTGTCAGTATAGCCTATAGAACATGTTGACATGCTAATTTCATGCAGCTTTCCAACAGTATTTTAGATTCTAGGAGAATTTTTTTGTTTGTTGTTTCTGTATTTCAACCAATTCTCCTGGTTATACATTACTCTCTGTTGCACAATTAAGGAAACATACATGTTTATTACCTTGATTTGGCTGTCAAGATTCAATTTCTAGTTTCATTGGTTTGCCACATCAGCATCTACTGGGGGGCTGGGAATGACATGCCTTGTTTTGTAGCACTGTTTAATGAGGTTGCCCTATGTTAATAAAGAAATAATAAAAGCTTCCTCAACTGCCCATGTTATTTTCCAGTATTTTGTTTTAAATGGCAATGATTTGTAACATAAAGGCTAGATGTGCCTTAGATGTGTAACCAATTTAAGGTTTCGTTTCATAATTTTATATTTTCTTTTTAAGAAAAGATATTTCACTTGTGTTTTATAATATGTCTATAAGGAACCTCTTTTTTTTCTCCATCAGAGCTTCTGAAATACCAGTTAGTGCTGCACATATGTCTGAGATCCCAGGATGGAAGCATCACTTACCTGGATTCCTACGAGGCCCTGCATTCCAGTGAGGCAGCATGGAAGTGCACTGGTGTCAGCAATCACCAGTAAGCACAAGCAGACCTTCCTCCCACTGCCACTACAGAAGGTAAGGAACTGTTCAGGCATCCAGTCCTTGGTGTGGCAATTTATGATTCAGTGCTGGGAGGCTTTCGGCTTCAGGCACAAAGAACACAGCTGAGCATCTTGGCCTGGAGGAGCTCCTAAACTGGAGCAATAGCCAAAAAAAAGTAGCAGCAGAGTCATCTCAGATTTACTTTGTTGAGAATCCAAACTAAAATCAAATGTTATTGATAAACATCTTTGTCTCAACACTTCAGCTACCCAGAGAGACCTAAAGCTCACTAAGTATAGGCGGCTGTACCACACCAAAGGTCCTTCAAGAACAATTTCCCACCAAAATGTTAATGAATAACCATTCTGTATGTGCTGGGTTTTAAGTCTGTAAAATGGAAATCCACCACTGAACACCTGTTTTCTTTCATTATATTAAGAAACTATGTTCATTTCAAAAATGGGGCCACATAACAGGATGTCTCCAACTTGCTGTGTTGCATACTAGTGCTGTGAATAATAGCTCCAAGCAGTAAACACAGTTCAGCTGTTTCAGAGGTGAAAGAGAGAGTAACTGGCCAGTGAACTGTGGCAGAAAACCTAAAAATGAACCAAAATCAAATTCTGGCCCTAGCGAGTGTATATGTACTCAGTACTTCAAATAGGTTTTGAATGTTATTTGAATATTACCTTGAAGAGATATACTCCTTTGACTGGATAGTTAAAATTATTGCTCACTGGACCCTTGAAGAAAGAAATCATGTAACAAATAATAGGTTCCACCTCTGTACTTGTTTACGTGAGCAGAAAGAGGATGCTACATCGCCAGCTCCCCTTTTCCAAGGGAGTAAAGGCTGAGAAGCCAAGAGAATAGCTGGGGCAGAGGAAGGGAATGAGATGCACGAGTTCCTGGAGAATGTAAACCAGAGACCTAACTTTAAGGATAAAGAAAAGTAGTATCTCTCCTTCACAAGGAACCTCCTGCCAAGATGAAGATAACATTTTTAAGCATTTTGGCATTCTAGAGCATTTTGAAACACCATGAATCTTGCAAAGTGTACTCTCAACAGGTAAAAATAGCACAGGGAGGAAAGAAAGTCTGCTGCACTGTGCACAGTCTTCCTTTATATGGGGTCAGAAATATTTGACATTTCTGCTTACACTTTAGGTGATGTGGAAAATACAAAACATTTATTTTAAATACTTGCACCTGACAAGCTTTAACGAGACACAAGCATTAACTTTACGAGTATCTTGTGACAATGGAGAAATTAAGTTCTCACAATATCACAAGTATCTTTGCAGCATATTAATGTTGTAAACCTTTGCTCTGGGTTTTCAACTCTGGTTATAATAGGCATCTAAATCCCATGACGCCCATACTATGTTAAACTGACATTAGGATTGCATTCCTAAGTAAAGCAGCTTCATTGCTGAAAGACGGAGTGCCAAACCTAAGTTTAAAGATCGGAATGCATTTATTAATATTTTACTAGAGATTATGAGTGTTTTCCATTACTGTAGTGTAACAGTTGGGAAAGAAAACACTGAGAATTTGTTATATAAATATGTCTTTTTTGGCGTATTTATTCCAGTATTAAATAGATCAGCCATTTACACTATAGTAATTTACAACAGTGGCAATAAAATTTCACTATTTTTTTTTTAACACATAAACCTCGTTAGATGATTTTCTGCCACTACCACTCTCTTACTTCAGTTTAATATCTTATTTTTCCATATACCAATTTACTGCTAAAAAAATTCTGCCCACAACAGAGGCAGGGATAGATGTTCTGTTTTAGTTTTTGCTAAGGATAAATCATAACCCTGTATCAAATCAATAGTCCTTGCTCTTCACTGCTTCAAAGCCTATTTGAAAAGTTACTTTTTCCTTTTAATTCCCCTCCATCATTTGAACCCATTTTTGCTTAGAACTGCAAATAACTGAATTACTTAGAACTGCAAATAATTTCAAAGAGAAACTCAAAGGAAGATATCATGAAACCACATTTCATATGTTAAGCAACCATTAAAGCCAGATTTTACTGGCATTTCTGAGTGCCAGTCTGTAATCTGCTACAAGAATAGTCAGTGACACGATGCCCACCCCTATCCCATGCATGGCATAGCTGCACACTTCAAACTGTGACTAGCCATGCCTCTGCTGGTTCTAAAATTTACTATTGTCATGGTCAACTACATATATATTTTTATATGTTTCATATAACATATGAATTTATATATTTATATGCTTTCCACATATAGTTGACAATCATGCTGCCTCTCTCACAAATCTGGAGCATGTGACATAAGTGTGAACCTGATCAAAGCTGATACTAATTTTCAGATCAGCAGGAGATTTTCAGTGTCACACTACAAATGTGGTCTCTGCCTTGTGAGCACATCAAAAGGTTTTGCAAACTGCCTAACGAGATGAAGACTGGTCTCCTCTGTGTTATTTCATTGCCACCATACAACCAAATGTTTTTGTCTAAAAAGGGACACATTTCATTACCTTCTAACATTCATGAAGGTCTCACTATTTAGTCAGCAAGATCACAACATGCAAAAATTCTTACAGGACTTTTGTTTACACTTAAATACTGATATTTAATCTTCTGTGAGTTCATCCTTGGGCAGGTTTCTTAGCAGAGAAATGGTGCCACAGATAGAGGAGAATGCAGGGTATCTCTCTCTACTGCTGTTGGTAGAGCCTGTTACTTGCTTATTTCAACCCAGAAGGCTCCAACTAAGAGCAGGGCCACACAGAAATACACAGGGGAAGATGATGTCTGACCTGAAGGGCTTGTCCTCTGAACAGCTCAGACAGAAAAATGGGATATGAAAGGTGCATAACAATTTCTCCTTTGTAAGTGGGGAAATAAGGCATGGAGATCACAGAAGAAAGACTGCAGCTGAGCTAAGAAGTGAATCCAGATGTCTTAGCACAAGCTAAGAGTTTGCACAAGTTTGTTGGGCAGTTTAGTAGATCTGAGTGATTTAGAAAAGTCATGTTTGACCTTATAAAAATTGCCAGCCAGATTTTAAAAGCAACAATGAGACGAAAACACTTTACACAGTAGAATTCTGACAGATTTTGCAGATAGGATTCATAGAAGGGTGCAGGTGCTAAATATACAAGCAGAACAAGGAAGGTATCCTCACTCCGAATCTTTAAGGCTAACACATGGCAGGTTTAATGTAATTCTGTTATTTCTGAAGGCTTCATAATTCCTTAAAGGAAATGCCTTTCCCCTTGTCTGGTTTATAATATCATGCAACTTATTTGAGAACCCTTAACTGTATCAAAATAAGCATTTAATTCAATCTGTAATGAATTGCAATTATTTCTGTCACGATTTCCTGAAGTTTTTGAGAAAAAATAATCAGTTCCCCATAGACCAAAAGCCAAAGTTACTTGAGCCACAATTTCTTCCCAAAGGGAAATTCTAAAATCCTACCTCTAAATATGTCTTGTGAGTTCTATGGACTAATAGCTCTATTTTCACTAAAATTTGAAAAATTTATCAGTCCGCCAAAGATTTTTCTCGTGAAGGCAAATGGTTTTGCACTTGCCAGTGCAAAGAGAGAAGAGACAACTATGAAGACAATTTTGGCAAAAACAACAAAAAAGGAAATTTAAAGTTAGATTGATACATGCTTTCTCCGAAGACATGGAAATTTTTCCATTTTTAGCAGTTCTATTTAAAACAGGAACTGCAAAGAGTATTTTAGGCTCCTGGATGCCTGCAGTCAGGGCTAGTAAGAAGCACAGCTATTCGTGTAAGCAGATGCCCCTCCCTATATACCTGAGTATATTGTCTTGTGTTTTCAAACCACAGAAATCATTATGAGCAAACATAAAATCACAATTTTTCCCAATAACAAACTAGAAATATTGCTGAGGTGTTCCTCTGCTGTATTCAGGCTTTTACTAATGCTCTTTTGTGTGTGAAGTTTCTGTATTTGCTGAGGAGGGTAATCAGCTTTCCCTGAACAGTTTTTGTCAGTCTGCATCTGTATCAAGTGCCAAGTGAAATGCAAGGTTGAAATGAAATTAAACACGTTTACCTTGGTCAGCATTAGAAAGGCAGTTATCGCTGTGTAACACACTTCTGTCCAATATTCTTATAGAGAAACTTATTTCTCTGCTATTATTTGTTAAAAGTGGAAAGTTTAGCAGCAAGTACTGTATGTAGCATCACAGAAACCGTAAGTTTTTCTGCACTCTGGAATCAGTGACATTCTAGAATTACACCAGCAGGATTCCCACAAAATACATTTTCCCCAAAAGCATGATGTATTTTTGTTCTAAATAACTCAGAACTGGGCTGAGGAACAGAGTCACTTCATAAATGTATGTTTCTTTCAATTTCCATTTGTGGAGGAGAAAATAATCAAATAATTTTGGCATGTTGCCTTCTAACAAGAAATTTTCACTTTATTCACAGGGAGGCAATTGGATGACTCGCAGGGATATTCCCTGCAGCTCTCTAATACAAACAGCTGTCCAAGGGCTAGATTCCACAATGCTTGATAACATCTTTGGAAATGGTTCTAGTCTCCTCCAAGATGGTACACACGTCCTGTTTCTAGATTACAACCACACAATTAAAGCTCTCCTCCTGAGCCACTGCATGGCTGACCTATTTTCTACATGGACTTAGCTGAAACAATCAATGGGCATAGCCATGCGTGAAGAGCAAGGCATGGCCAAACCATCCCAAGGGAGGGTTCCAGACAGCTCCATGCCCCACAGCCCCATGCAAGAGTTCAAGTCTCCAGGCATTTCTCTCCTTGCCTTAGGGTGGAGAAAAAGTGGCCTTGTCATTCAAGCAGGGACAGCACAGCATTCTGTTCACAGGCAGATACACATGCACAGGAAGTACAGACAGGGGCTGTCATGAAAGAGATACCCTGTCAGAAATAACATGGAAAGGCACAGCTGGGTTATCATCTGGGCTTAGTGTGCTTCCTGTAAGGAATGACCCTCCTGGGGCAGACTTGCACAAGGGGGCTTGTTCAAATGCTCCTGCTAGCAGGACACCATTCTCTCAGAACAGCTACTTGGAGTGTGAATAGTGAATATGCAAGAAGAAAATCAATTCACAAACTGACTTTAAGTAATACAAACGAACTAATTTAAAGA